AATTGGAAACAATTATTTGTATATTGATAGCAATATAGAACCTTTTGCTTTAATATCTTTTAATATTTTTTTTCCTAAAATGGATGATGTGGCAACTAGATCGGTGCCTCTCTTTCTCTCTCTGAACAACAATTAAAAACCATATCGATTTTTTCTGTTAGTCATATTGGACGAAGAGAGACTTGATTGCACAGTTTCAACAAGTTTTAAGACTTATTTGCACTTTTCTAAAGGTTTTAATACTCGATCACACTTTTGCGATAAATTTAAGACTTCTAATGCACTTATTCTTATTTTTGTCAACTCTCGTATGCAAATTTTCGTAGAGTATATGCAGACTTATGTTGATTGGTTATTAATGTAACCATTCCTCTCCAAGCTGCACAAGGCTCATTGCAATCTAAGTATTAGATCACCACGATGCCACGGATCACATCCATTGAGCGCATGTTTGATGCGGGACACTATAGCAAATTTCCACTTACATTCGAGTATCTAATTGAAACATTCAATTTCCAGGAAGCAACCTGTAATAGGATTGATTTCACGGGAATGAATCAATTGCGGCGTCTGCCTTTCTTCTCCACCATTTTCATCTCATAAAATCTCCACCAAGCATGAAAGATGTTTTGGCCAAAGTCTTCCAAATGTGTTTGTTTCTCCTTGGAAAATTTTTGGGTCATGGCAAGCTCAAAGGGCCACGACCAAGCAGACTTGCCTTGTTATAAATTTGATAAGTTTGTGCTGCCGGCCAGTGAAAATTCCGACATAAGCTTTACTCCAATCGCGAATAGTTATAATATTCCGTTGGTCAATAAATCTCTGTGCACGGTACTTTTCTAACATGAATAATAAATTGTAAGTCTCGATGGCAATATCATATGATGGTGGTCCAACCGACTGATGGTAATTTACAGACAATGTTAGCAATTTACACGCATTAAATGCAAGAGTAAGATATCAATCGTCTTAGGAATATATCACTTAAAATGACAACTTAGCGGTAAATTTAATAACTTATCGACCTAGATCCGCCTTTAAGAAAATAAGTTACCAGCAGAAAAAGGAACTTACCAACTTCAAGAAATATAATTTACCACTCAAAATAAAAACTTAGCAGAGAAATTAGTAACTAGTAACTTTAAGTTCATGGACCATTTTTATCATTTTTCTTAAATTGAAAAAAACCTGACAATCAATTGACGGATGTTGGATTTGAGAACAGTATCATTCTCTCAATGGTAAATTATAAATAGTTCAACTGGATAAAAAAAAGGAGTTAATTCTAAAAAAAAGCACAAACTTTATTTTGAGTGACAATTTTTACATGAATTTTTTTGTCTCATAAAAAAACACAAACTTTCGCTTAAATCCCAAATTTGGCCCGAACAATTTGAAAATTTCACGTCACAAGGTTAGATTTGGGACTCGAGTAAAAGTTGGTGCTTTTTATCCAGACTAAAAAAAGTTTGTGCTGGGATTGTCACTCAACGTAAAGTTAGTGCTTTTTTTTTTGAATTAGCCAATAAAAAAGCTGCCAATCAACTTTTACGGGAACTTGTAACGGTGAACAAGTTCGGCCTTGGTAAAAACAGCTATCTACAATATGGTTTTAAATACATGTTTACACTTGCACATGGCACAGTTCACATGTTTTGCATCAACAGCAGCATGAAAATCCACGAGAGGAAACGCCATTGCCGGGTGGAAGTAAGCAACAATGTTACAGGTCATGTAGATACAATCGCCAAGCAAAGGCCAAATTGTTAAAAGCTTAAGGATCAGTTTTACATATTACTAGGGATGCATGACAGAAACACGATACCGCCCGAAGAAATAATCAAGGGGAAAGCCCAAGTACAAGCTCTTTGGCATCTTCAGTTGGACTAATCTTCATTAAAAAAACTTAAATCAATAAGTTATATGCCAATTAGAATTTATCAACTCCTCCATATTATGCCACCTACACGTTGTGACACTTCTTTTCACCTAACATCCTCACACATTCACCTCAACACGTATAATAGATAGCTGAATTCTAACAAATTGTTCGCCGAAACAGGAGCATATTTCCGCGCAATATAATTTTCAATATGATCAATAAATTCTAAATTTTGTTAGTAAAATCATGTAGCTGGTGAATTCTTAGTCAAGCACGCTGATGGTAATGTAACTTACAAATTGAAACAAAAACTTAGCACTGACACTAGTAACTTACCACGTAAATCCTTACAAGTTAGTAAATTTCTAATATATTAACGATTTTGCCATTGGAAAGAAAATCAAGGGGAAATTACTCAAATTTACCAAACATTTATGGATCCAATCACAATCTTCTCTCGAACTTTGGGATAGTATAGGTTTGCCCCTAAGCTTTCAATTGTTATCTCATGTTACCGCAGTTATGTTTCCGTTATGTTTTCTATTAGCATGCGCAATGCACATACCTGTTAAGGGGTAAAATTGTATTTTCATCTCATTTTGAAGGAAACATTTTTGTCACCATTGATTTATGTAGACAATGGAAAAATAAAGAAAATGGAGAAATTAATATCATGAAGAAACAAATTTCAATAATGATATCAAATAAATTTCTTTAAATTTGATGGATATATTAATATAACTAATAAGATATTTTAAGAAAAAGAAACGCAACTAAGTAAAAAGGAAAACGGTCTCAACAACAAAAAAAAGGTCAAATTACAAAGCCGCCTACTCATTATGTATTTTTTAACGGTTCATTAACATTTCGACCTAAAAAAAGGTTTATTAACACAACTGATTGATTTGACAAATCATTTTCTTTCATGAGTTGAGGGCATCATTTCCTTTTTAAATTTTATAAATACTTTTATTAATTAATAAACTTTTAATTTTGATATGAACTTTTTTTTGTCTTATAAGCAACACCAACTTTCACTTAAATCCCAAATTTGGCCTGAACAATTTGAAAATTTCACATTACAGGGTCACATTTGGAACTCAAGTAAAAGTTGGTGATTGTTATCGAGACAAAAATAAGTTTGTGATAGGATTGTCACTCAAGGTGAAGTTGGTACTTTTTTTTAGAATTAGTCGATAGAAATGCTGCCACTCAACTTTTACAGGACTTGTAACAGTGAACAAGTTCGGCCTTGGTAAAAAGAGCTATCTACAATATCGTTTTAAATACATGTTTCCACTTGCACATGGCACAGTTCACATGTTTTGCATCAACAGCAGCATGAAAATCCACGAGAGGAAACGCCATTGCCGGGTGGAAGTAAGCAACAATGTTACAGGTCATGTAGATACAATTGCCAAGCAAATGCCAAATTGTTAAAAGCTTAAGGATCAGTTTTACATATTACTAGGGACGCATGACAGAAAGACTATACTTTCGCCCGAAGAAATAACCAAGGGGGAAGCCCAAGTACGAGCTCATTAGCATCTTCAGTTGGACTAATCTTCATTAAAAAAACTTAAACCAATAAATTATATGCCGATTAGAATTTATCAACTCCTCCATATTGTGTCACAAACACGATGTGATACTTCTTTTCACCTAACATCCTCACACGTTCACCTCAACATGTATAATAGATAGCTGAATTCTAACAAATTATTTGCCGAAACAGGAGCAAATTTCTGCCCAATATAAATTTCAATATGATCAATAAATTCTAAATTTTGTTAGTAAAATCATGTAACTGGCGACTTCTTAGTCGAGCACGCCGATAGTAATGTAACTTACAAATTGAAACAAAAACTTAGTATTGACGCTAGAAACTTACCACGTGAATCCTTACAAGTTAGTAAATTTGAAATATAGTAACGATTTTTCCATTGGAAAGAAAATCAAGGGGAAATTACTCAAATTTACCAAACATTTGTGGATCCAATCACAATTTCTCTCGAACTTTGGGATAGTATAGGTTTGCCCCTAAGCTTTCAATTGTTATCTCATGTTATAGCAGTTAGTTTTCCTTTATGTTTTTTATTAGCAGGCGCGATGCACATACCTTTTAAGGGGTAAAATTGTATTTTCATCTCATTTTTGAAGGAAACATTCTTTTTTCACCATTGATTTATGTAAACAATGGAAAAATAAAGAAAATGGAGAAATTAATATCATGAAGAAACAAATTTCAATAATAATATCAAATAAATTTCTTTAAATTTGATGAATATATTTATATAACTAATAAGATATTTTAAGAAAAAGAAACGCAAATAAGTAAAAAGGAAAACGGTCTCAACAACAAAAAAAAAGGTCAAATTACAAAGCCGCCTACTCATTATGTATTTTTAACGGTTTATTAACATTTCGACAAAAAAAGGTTTATTAACACAACAACTGATTGATTTGACAAATCATTTTCTTTCGTGAGTTGAGGGCATCATCTCCTTTTTAAATTTTATAAATATTTTTATTAATTAATATTCTTAATGAGCAACCAATGTTTTTTTTTTCATTTTACATATTCTGTTAGTGAGGCATTTTCTGTTTTCTAAATAAACTTTTTGTAAAGCTCCACCATTGAAGTTATTATATACAAGTGAAATTGGTAATTGTGAAATTTAAGTAGTAAAGTTCAATACTAACCTTGTCAACCTATTTAGGAAGTTGCCACTGGAAACAAAATTTTACTGGTGAAAGTTAACAAATTAGTTGTGAAATTAGTGGCCTGCTTTTCGCATAGCGGAATTTACCAACATGATATGGAATTTATCAACTTTGATTGAAATAGTAAATTATTAATTTCAACAGATGGACACCACTTGCAAAACTTTAGAGCAGTTGGTAAAAAATCATTATTTTAGATATATGTAAAATAATGTTGATATGGACATCCCGAGTGCGATATATTTGGTTTAAACAGAGAACAAGTAGTCACCTGTCTTCAACAATGGGACATACGGGAGAGACTCAGATATAATAGAAAATTCTATAATGAATGCCGGTTTCAATTTAAAGGTTGAAGTAGCTCCACTCAAGGAGCGCACAAACTTCATCTAACATGGCTTCGGTAGTACTAGGAATCCTCATAGTACTAATTCCGCTTCCACTTTTCGCCGAAGCTCAGACCCCCAGCAGCTTAACCTTGGGCTCCTCGTTGACAGCGAATGACAGGAACTCTTCCTGGCTGTCGCCATCGGGTGAATTCGCCTTCGGGTTCCAGGAAATGGGAAGAGGAGCTCATTTGCTGGCGATATGGCTCGAGAAGATAGAGGATAAAACCATAGTCTGGTCGGCGAATGGCGATAATCTAGCACCCGAAGGTTCGACAGTCCAGTTGATCGCCGACAGCAGACTGGTGCTTATGGACCCAAAAGGAAGTGAGTTGTGGTTTCCTCTCCCGACTGTCACTGGCGCAGCGTATGCGGCCATGCTCGACACGGGGAACTTTGTCCTGACGAGCCAGAACAACGTCGACTTGTGGGGGACGTTCAGCCAATCGACCGATACGATACTCCATACGCAGCAGTTGGATCTAGGGTCTAAAGTTAGAGCTCGCTACTCTGAAGTGAATTACTCCGCCGGGAGATTCCACCTCATACTACAAGACGACGGAATCTCGTATTCTATGCCACTCCTACCAAGCCGGTCCTATCAGATGCTTACGTGGCTAGCAACACCCTTGGTACCGCCTTCCGAGATATTCAATCAAAGTGGTCAGGTCTACCTCACGGCAATGAATGGAAGAGTACTAACTCTCGTCACCTCAGACACCAACCCGACCAGCGGATTTTACCAAAGAGCGATCCTTGAATATGACGAGGTCTTCAGGGAATATGTCCACCCAAAGACAGCAAATTCGAGTTCTGGCTGGGCAATGGGCTGGTCGATGGTCTCTTCCCCGGTCCCTCCAAATATATGCACGAGCATCACCCAAAATACCGGTCCTGGAGCTTGTGGCTTCAACAGCCACTGTACTCTTGGAGATGATCAAATTCAGAGGCCCCGATGCCGCTGCCCACCTGGATATACTCTGTTAGATTCGACGAACGAGATGAACGGATGCAAACAGGACTTCGCACCACAGAGTTGTGATGGAAGTAAGCTTGAAACAGACCATTTTGCTTTGCGTGACATGCTCAATACAGACTGGCCGTTGTTTGATTACGAGCTTAGCGAGCCACAAACCGAGGACTGGTGCAGACAGGCTTGCTTGGCTGATTGTTTTTGCGCAGTTGCTATTTTCCGAGATGGAAATTGTTGGAAAAAGAGGATCCCTCTTTCAAATGGAAGGATGGATTCTAGTGTGGGTGGAAAGGCTCTGATCAAGGTCAGGATACATAACTCGAATTCAAAATCTACAGGAAACGGAAACAAGAATTCTACTCTGATTATCATCGGATCAGTGCTGTTGAGTAGCTCTGTGTTTGTGAACTTGCTTTTACTCCTCATTACCTATTTAATTTATAGAAGCTTCCGATCTAGGGATTATAAGTCGTCACGACCAGCCCAGATCAACCAAGCTACAGGCACACAGACTTTCACTTATCAGGAGCTTCAAGAAGCAACAGATGGATTCAAAGAAGAACTGGGTAGGGGTGCTTTTGGAACACTGTACAAAGGTGTTCTTGGATCCGATGAAACAAACTTTGTGGCAGTAAAAGTGTTGGCGACAAGGACCGGAGAAAGCGAAAAGGAGTTTGAAAGAGAAGTGAGTGCGATTGGCCAAACTAACCACAATAACTTGGTGCAGTTGCTTGGGTTCTGCAATGAGGGTCAACATCGATTACTGGTGTATGAATTCATGAGCAACGGCAGTTTGGCGGATTTTCTGTTTGGCGCTTCAAGGCCTAGCTGGTACAAAAGAATAGACATTGCCTGTGGTGTTGCGCGGGGGCTCTCTTACTTGCATGCTGATTGTACCAGGCATATAATCCACTGTGACATTAAGCCGCAAAACATTCTTCTTGATGGATCTCTCTCTGCAAAAATATCAGATTTCGGATTAGCTAAGCTCTTGATGGTGAACCAAACCCGAACCACCACTGGAGTCAGGGGAACCAGAGGTTATTTAGCGTCAGAATGGTTCAGGAATATGCATATTTCTAGCAAAGTAGACATTTACAGCTTCGGCATTTTGTTGGTAGAGCTCATCTGCTGCAGAAAGTGATGCCGAAGAGCGATAGAAATTAGGCTAAACAGAAGAATCGAAACGATAACAAGAAACAAACTGTTCTCTCAATCGATTAACAATCGATAAGTTTTCAAAACATCCAAAAACTACTGCCTCTCAAAACCCTAAAAACAAGTTTATAAAGGGTGTTAACCCTAATGACAAAAAAACGCAAAAATACAAAAATACCCTTAATTCGAAAATTACTAAAATAATTTTAAAAAACCATCTAAACGATCCCGAATCATGAAAATCCATCGTTAGTCGTAGCCAAAAGCTACGAGTATTGATGAGCACGCCGTTTCGCTTCAGCCGACCAAATTTGAGTTCAATCCGACATCGTTGACTTCAAGCCCGCCGGTTCGTCCAGTCGCATAATGGGTCCGTCGGTCCCCTAGGTGCATCATCCTCCCCTGCTAGAGAAAGATTCGTCCTCGAATCTGCTTCGTCTTCATTGTCATCAATCTCTTCAGGGTCTTCTTCCTCTTCAGTGTAGTGAGGTGACAAATCTGCTACATTAAAAGTTCCAGAAACATTGTGCTCACCCGGCAACCCAGGTGGTAACTCTTCTGGTACGACATTAGCAGACTCCTCAAGCAAGGGCAGAACTTGGGTAGGAATTTCGGGACTGTCAGAATTCCGCTCCATCACTACAATGGCAAAAAGCCCAGGCGCGTTCACTGCCTCTTCTTGAAATTTTGACCTGGACAGCAGATTATTCTTCACTTCATTTCTCAAATCTGAAGGACCTAGGGTAATGGTTCGGCCATCCTTCTTGAAGGTATAACTATTTTTGAAATCATCATGCCTTGTCTTTCTATCAAACTGCCACGGCCTCCCTAATAAAATATGGCAAGCATCCATTGGGACTACATCACACCACACCTCATCGATGTAATTTTTTCCAATCGAAAATTGCACAAGACACGTTTTGCTCACCTTCACCTCGTTCCCTTTTCTAAGCCACGATAACTTATATGGTTGAGGATGATTTTCTGTTTTCAACCCCAACTTTTCCACCATATTCGTGGACACCACATTCTCGCAACTCCCACCATCTATTATCATGCTGCATACTTTTCCTCTACTAGTGCACTTAGTATGAAAAATATTATGTCTAAGCCACGATTCATCATCCGCTACATCAACATTTAATATTCTTCTAACGACTAGGGACTCACTAGGATCAGCATAGATAATCCCTTCCTGTTCCGCATCCACATCCTCTTCTTCGTCTTCAGATTCATCATAAACTGGACCTTCATCAAAGAACGGATTACCAACAAGCGTCACAATTTGTCGGTTTGGATAATTAGCAGCAAAATGCCTGAATCCTTGACACTTGAAACACCACTTGGCTGCAGTTCCTCCCCTACTTGTTCTAGCACTACTCTGCCCCTCGTTGGATGCAGGTTTAGAACTTACATCCTTAATTGTGACCGATGTCGAATTTACTGCTGATATTCCCGCTTTTCCTTGAGATTCTTTATCTGACCACTTGGAACTGCTGCCTGACCACTTAGAATTACTGCTCTTTCTTTTAAACTGCCCCTCCACCTTTAGGGCTAGTCTGCACACATCCTCATACGTCTAATACTGCTGTCATTGGACAACATCAGAGATCTCATATCGCAGCCCTGCCAGATATCGTCCAATCGTTTGCTCGTCTTCCTCCGCCACATCACAACGCATCCGCAAGCGATCAAATTCTTCTGTAAATTCCTCAATTGTTTTATCACCTTGCTTGATGTTATGATACTCGATAAACGCCTCTTGCCTATAATAGGTAGGCAAAATTTTTTTCTGCAATAACTTTTTCATCTTCTCCCAGCGATCCACCTTCGGCTTCCCCTCTCTAGCGCGTTGCTTTTTCACGCGTTCCCACTAAATCGAAGCATGTTTTCGTAGCCTAATAGCCACTAACTTCACTTTTTACCCCTTAGTTAGGTCTTTAAGATCAAAAATCCGTTCTACCGTATGCAACCAATCAATAAACTCATCAGGATGAGCCTTACCATTAAATTCGGGAATCTCGATCTTCATCCCGAAATTTTGAGAAGAGCGTTGATTTTCAGGTCATACTCCTCGATTCCGTCCCTGGTTCAGAACCCTGAAAGGGTTTACGTCCTCCTCTTCATCATCGGATTGAACGCCCAATCTGCCTCTGCAAGTTGTCGCTCCAAATCCTGGATTCGTCTTCTCTGTTCTTCAATTTCTACGTCTCGCAGATCTCTTAGACGCGATTGGTCGTTTGCTTCAGGAACGCCTCTACGCCCCCGGCCACCACGAGCCCGCCATCCACGACCGTGATTTTGTTCAGCCATTGATTCAAGCAACCTGTGCTCTGATACCAATTAATGCCGAAGCGTGATAGAAATTAGGCTAAACAGAAGAATCGAAACGATAACGAGGAACAAGCTGTTCTCTCAATCAATTAACAATCGATAAGTTTTCAAAATATCCAAAAACTACTGCCTCTCAAAACCCTAAAAACAAGTTTATAAAGGGTGTTAACCCTAATGACAAAAAAAAATGCAAAAATACAAAAATACCCTTAATTCGAAAATTACTAAAATAATTAAAAAAACCATCTAAACGATCCCGAATCACGAAAATCCATTGTTAGTCGTAGCCAAAGGCTACGGGTATTAATCAACATGCCGTTTCGCTTCAGCCGACCAAATTTGAGCTCAATCTGACATCGTTGACTTCAAACCCGCCGGTTCGTCCAGTCGCATAACGGGTCCATCGGTCCCCTTGGTGCATCAGAAAGAACTATGAGCCGAAAGCCAAAAGTGAAGCTCAAAGTGTACTGGTCGACTGGGTGTATGACTGCTACCATGACGGGAACATAATTGTGCTGGTGGAGAGTGACGAGGAGGCAACAAGTGACATGAGGAGGTTGAGAAGATTTGTGATGACAGCATTGTGGTGCATCCAGGAAGACCCAGCTTTGAGGCCAACCATGAAGAAAATCACTCAGATGTTGGAAGGAGCTGTTGAAGTCTCAGTCCCTCCAGATCCAAGCTCTTGTATCAGTTCAGTATGATTTTGCTTATCGAGACATCTAATGTCTGTAATCACGAATAGTATTTGTATTGTCTGCAAGTGCTATTTCGCCAGAATAAACTTTTTCATAATGTCTTCGCATGTATCCAAGAGAGAATGGGTTAACGATTGTCAGCAAAAGGGATTGTTGAGTGATCAAGTAACTGTATCAAATGATGCAGAATAAATCGAGGTGAGGAAAATGATATCAAGGCTCCAAATGTTCTCGTCAAGTCGAAGCTCCCATGATGTAGCAAAAATCACGATCTTCTTAATTGTGATGAAATGTAGTGAGAAGCATGGATGTTAGATAGTGCAAATTCACATGTATTTTTTTTTAAGGATTAATCCCTAATTTTGTGAAATATTTTGAAAAGTTTGATAGGTGAATATTTTGGTGTCAACAATGAGTCTCCAAGCAAAAATTCGTTTCTATCCAGCCCAATCCGTGAGTAAACCAAGCTCCGTTCAAGTTCATCCATCTCTAATCTTCATCACCTTGACGTCCTAAAAGGTATTAGGTTGTGGTCCATTCATCACATATCGAGCATTGTATCGAAGTTTCAAGTCAGAGTATGCTTTCGACCAAAAAAAGATAGTCGAGTATGCTAGCTTGCCTTGTCCCAACGTGCGTCCATAAGATTTTTATTAAGTTATTGACTCGATACTTCATTGACCCTCTATAAGCTCTAAATGCTCTATTTTTTATGAGATAGGTGCACAAAAAGTCTTAAAAGCTATTCCAAAAGTGCAATCGAGTTATGAAACTTTCATAAAGTGCAATCAAATCTTAAAATTTATCAAATCAGTTCAATCAAGTCCATCTATTAGCTCCGTCCAATTTCGTTAACATAAACTGCTGGGGTTGATTTTTTTTTTTTTTGGGCGAATTTTTGAAGAAAGAGGTGCTGATGAGGTTGCCATGTCAACCATTTCAGAAGAATAAAAGAAATTTAAAGGAAAAATTGATTTTAAGATTTTAAAAAAATTAAAATATAAAAAAAAGGAAAAAAAAAGGAGGAATCAAACATAGGAGAAGCTGAGAAATACGGTGGTAGTTCCAATTTAGGTGGAGGCAGCTTGGGGGTGAGCATGGTAATATTTTTGTTCCCAAAAATAATTTTTGTTTGGAAATAGTTTTTTTTATATTTCTATTGCCTTTCTGAGCAGAAAAACGTGTTTGGTAACTGCAGAAAATTTCTATTTATAGAATAGAAAAAGAACAGAAATGCATTTGGTACGACCATAAAAATTTGTATTCACGATTTTTTTCCATTCAATTATAAAAATATCAATGGAGACTTAACAATTCATGTTTGGATAAAACTAGATTGGAAATAGAATCAGAATATATTATGATATAGAATTGGATGACCTTAATACAATCATAAAAAAAATTACTCCTTATAGACAAAGCAAATACCGGGTGGCGGTCGAGAAAATTACAATTTAGGATTTTAGGTTTTAGAGTTTAGGGGTTTGAGGTTTGGGTTAGGGGTTTAGAGTTTGGGGTTTGGGGTTTAATGTTTAGGTTTTGGGGTGTTGGATTTAGCGAATTAGGGTTTAGGGGTTTAGGATTTAGGAAATTGTTTCCCAAATTAATTTTTTGACCACCAAAAATCCTAAACTGGTGCACTAGTAACAAAATTACCCTAAACTAATTTTTTGACAATAAAAAACCCCAAACCGGTACACTTGTGACAAATATACCTTCCGTTAAATTGGATTAATATAACGAAAAACTACAAATTGATAAACCTGTGAAAATCCAAAATCGGTACACCCATCAATTGCCTTGTGTCATCCAACTTAACAATTTGACTGTAAAATTTAACGGAAACTAATAGAGGGTAAATTTGTCACAGGTGTATCAATTTGGAGTTTTTAGTGGTCAAGAAATTAGTTTTAGGTAATTTTGTCACATGTGTGCCAATATGGGGTTTTTTGTGGTATTAACCCTTAAAGTTAGTAAGTACAAGCGAAATTAGCAACATGTCTCCTCGCTTCTAGGGCAGTTAAGTATCACATGAAGCATGAAATTTATTAAAGGTCTTACTCAATAATAAGTTCATTGACTTATTTAGGAGGTTGTCTTTGGAGACAAGATCTTACCAGTACAGTTAAGAACTGTGAAAGTAGTAATTTACCAACGTAAGCTCCCTTTTAGCTTAGTAAGTTACCACCGGTGAAATAGTAAATTATCAACTTCTTTAGAATTTTTTTACAAAGCACATAGCTCTCGATTTTTGTACATCCCTCACAGTAATAATATCTTGTGATTTGCAGCGATAACTTGGTATATCTACTATACTAGATTTTAGGACTGTGAAATCGTATTTTTGTTGATAATTTACCGGTTAATCGACAGGCTCACTTAAACAAATCTAAAACACTCGGTAATCTACTGCTAGATGTCAACGTGGTAGGATTCATTATCTTGTTGACAAGTGACGGGCTACTTGTTAAATCGAAAAATAGTTGGTAATCTACCGGTAGATATTAGACATGAGAAAGGTATGCTTTCCTTATAAAATTATTTTGACTGGATAAAGAACTCTGCCAATCAACTTTTACACGACACTTGCAAATGTGAACGATAATATATAAAAAGAATGGAGAAAAATAATTCGATTAAACAATAAATAGAAAAATAATCAACGATATGAAAAATGTAGTGAGAAGCATGAACATTAGATAATGCAAGTTTACATATTTTTGCTAAGGATTAACAAGTTAAATCCCTAAGTTTATGGAATGTTATGAAAAGTCTAATAAGTGAAAATTTAGGTGTCAACAATGATTCCCCAAGCAAAAACCATGTCTATCCAACCCAATCTGTGATTAAACCAAGCTCTATTCAAGTCGGTCCTTCTCTAACCTTCATGGCCTTGACGCCCTATAGTTATTCGGTTGTGGTCCATTTATCACGTACGGAGCACTGAATCGAAGTTTAAAGTCAGCAGAAGTAACGCGTGCGACTTTTGAACCCTACAAACCCTAGAAAATTAGCCCTTTGCCTTACTAATTGAGATTCATTTGGGGGCCAAATGTATAAACAGGAGGTTTTGGCTTGCATTATCGTGGCGATGCAGGAATACTTCTAGTGTGACCGAGATGCTAGAGATGCAGAGAACTATTAAGTTAATAGTATTAACAATGCAGAATACTGTTGATAGTTTTCTCTTATTGAGTGATTTATAAACAGGAACACTCCCTCTATGTGTACTGATCACATTAATTATATGTAAACCAAATTACTTTTAGGGTGCGTTTATTTTGCGGAAAACGTAATGTTTTTGGAAAATGTTTTCGGGGAATTCATTTTCCAGGAAAATGGTTACTTTTCCTTTGTTTGGTGATTTTGATCGAAAAAGTTTTATGGCGTTTGGATCTCACTTGGAAAATGATTTCAATCTCATGACTTTATCTTAGACAAAAAAATCGAATTTTTAAATAGTTTTTAAAATTTTCTTTTCTTTTCTTTTTCTTTTTCCTTCTTCCTCCCTCGTCGGCCCACACTTGTGGCAGGTCATTAGCCGTCGCCGAGGCCGGCGACCAGTGGAGTAAGGAAGAAGGAAGAAGGAAAAAGAAAAAGAAAGAAAAGAAAAAGAAAATAAGAAAGAAAAGAATAAAGAAAAGAAAATATTAACAAATTCAAGATAAGCAATTCCGGAAAGTATTTTCACATTCTTATATTAGGAAATTCACTTTCCTAAATTTATATATGAATGTTTTTTTTGACCGGAAAGTATTTTCGGTTGACTAATCATTTTTAGAGAACCAAATGGACGAAAGTCCGGAAAATGGATTTTCGGAATACACTTTCCCTCAAACAAATACACCCTTAGATGTGATAAGTATTGCATGATGTCGTTAAGTCCATGAGCATTATATCTTTATGTCTCTACAAAATCCATTTAACCAAACATATCGGATTCAAAACCCAAAACTCCTGTATCAATTTTTTTTGTAGATTATCTGCCGGAACTATGTATATTCATAATTGCTGTAGCCATTCCTCTCCAAGTTACACAAGACCCGTCATATTCCAAGCATTGAGTCAACCACCACGCCACGGACCACATCCATCGAGCACAAGCTGGACACGGGACTACAAAGCAAGTTTCCACATCCCTCCGAGAATATCTGCCATTATGATTGAAAAATTCAATTTCCATAAAGCAACTCATACTCGGTTTGAATTCGCAGGGATTGAATCAACTGCGGGGCATGCCTTCTTCTCCATCACGTTCATCTCATAAAATTTCCAACTTAACGTGTACGACGTTTGGTCAAAGTCTTCCAAATTTGCGTGATCCTTGGAAAATTTTTTGGTCCCGGAAAGCACATGGAGAATACTTGCCTTATTCTAAATTTGACGAGTTTTCTTTCACCGTTGATTTCTCTAAAGAAAAAGGGAAAAATAAAGAAAATGAGCAAAACTAAATTTACAAAGATATTATCACCAGAAAAATTTAATATCAATGATACTATTATAAGATAATTTTTTGTAAACCTTGCTGAATATAATAATAGAACTGATAAGATACTTTAAGGAAAAAAGAAACAAAAACAAGAAACACTAATATAAGATTATTCTAGATACACGTGTTGACAGGGGCAAAGTCTGTCCACAGATTTGGTTCAAACAAGCTGTGGGAGAGACTCGGGTAGCATAGAAAGTGGAACGGAGATCTATTAAGAATGCTGGTTTCATTCATAAGGCTGAAGTAGCTCAACTCAAGGAGCACGCAAGTTTCATCTAACATGGCTTCAGTGATGTTAGGAATCCTTCTAATACTTGTTCCACTTCCACTTTCAGCTGGAGCTCAGACCTCCGGCAACTTGACCTTGGGCTCCTCGTTAACAGCAAATGACAAGAACTCTTCCTGGCTTTCGCCGTCGGGTGAGTTCGCCTTCGGGTTCCGAAAAATGGGAAGAGAAGCTCATTTGTTGGCTATATGGTTCGAGAAAATAGAGGACAAAACCATAGTCTGGTCGG